TTCAATATTTCACAACTTTATCTAAAAAAGTGAAATTATTTAAGTAATTCAAAAATAATCATAAATTTATTTCAAAATTTAACATTGATTTATGAATAACAAATTTTGCAATTCTAACATAAGTTACAAACACATATTAACACTTTTTTGTTTTATGTACCGACCATTTATTTATTTTATGACTATGAAGATTATGCTAACTATATTGTAATGATAAAATAATAATATACAATAATTCATAATATACAGAGTAAAATATTCAAGATTATACAATATAATATATTATTATATCCTTTATTTAATTATTTCTAAATTATTATTAAATAAAATTATTTATAATCTAATTTTAGGATTCTATACACTAAAATATTGTATTGTTAATTGTTATGTAGTTGACACTAAATGACTCTTAATGTTATACTGAATAATATATGTAATCAGTGAAATTTGTGTTCATTATAATTATCATAATTATAATAGTCTTTACAGTAATTGTCATTTCTTCAATTGATGTAAGTCTATACTATAGGCCTCCCTTTAAGTTTTTGCCAAACAGTACAGTATTTATTTTGTGGTATCTTAGGACTCAACGAAAGACCAATTTTATTACACCCGTATTCATGTGATTCTAATTATTAGAATCTAATACCTGTACAGTATTTATAAGTAAGTTGTATCTATAATATTTTTCATATACTGTAATTAGTTTCATTTTAAATTATAAAATAAATTATAAATAGTTTATTAATGCTTTGTGCATTGTATTTATTGATAACCTTATTTAAGTTGAGAAGTATATCCGATGTTAATGTAAAGTTTATTAATGCTGTTTAATTTTACAAAAATTATTTAAATCTGAAATTTAATAATCCTGTATTTACTGTAATTCATGTTATAATTATTAATTTTAACTAGTATTAAGTATATAATTTTTGTGTAGTAAACTAATGTGTTTAATTCTTAAATCTTAAGAATAATATTGCTTTAACCACAATATGTTATGTTACTTTAGTTATTAGTTTTTTATTATAAAATTTAAAACTTAAAATTCGTCAAAATGAATGTTTTTTATTAATATCTTAAATTATTATGAATATATTTTAATTACTTTTGATACTTTACTAGTTGGTTGAGTGGGCAATGAAATAATAATAGATAACGTAAATGTGTTATAAATTATGTAATAAAATGTTGTTTTAGTGATAATAATAATAACGAATATATTGTATTGTAGATAACACTTGAACATTAAACTGAGTAAAAGTGAGTAAAACTATTGTTTTTGTAGACTTTCATAACTGGGCGGCAATTCTTTCAATTCAATGATGACTTTGTCATAAGAAGGCGGCGGACCACTGATTCTGGAGTCGAAAGTATTCTGCGATTCCTCATAGATATGGGAGATAATGGCCGGTCGGCTGTAATATTCTGTTTGATATCTTCTCGTATTGACCCGATTTCGATCAATTCGTCGGTATATATAACCACTGATTATGAGGAACAGCATAATCGATATGAAAGGGATAGCAAATGAGAGCCAAACGGTTGTGGGAACGGATCCAAAATCCATATCTGCCTCGTCGTCCACAATCATATGAGGCTTTTCTGTAGACGTTATGACAGTCGGTCTTAAGTGACAGTACTTTTGAACACAATCCGAGTCACGTCCACAATCCAGATCTGATTCACATTTCTTGTGATTATTAATAGTATGAGAATTATTTGCAATTTCTTCGTTTGTATTTAAATTCATTGCTTCAATCATTTGATTTCCATAAAACAGACATAAAATAATGACATATTTTATGAGAAAACTTATTTTAGTTCTTTGAATCATTTTATTTAAATTTATATATTTATTTAATTTAATTAAAGTATTAATTGACTGTTAAGTAATACTCTTAATATTTTCAATATGGATTTCTAGACTTTTAATTATTGAATTCACCATAATGTAGCACTCATGCACTGAGAATTAATAGCAAAATGCAATCAATATTAATAAAATTAATTAATTTTCTATTCAATATTAATTCGCATTTGAAAAGAGTTTATGTGTTAATAGTATTGGTTTAAATAGTACCGTTCCTTCACAACAATTGATGTAAAAGTAATTAAATAATAGCCATAAAAACTAGTTCTTTGGTGTTTTATCAGTTAATAAATACACATTCAATTTGAAGCATATAAATTTCATATCTACTCAAACTCCCGGTGAATTTATTATACAGTATATTCTGTATAAATGTTTGTTTACATCTATATTTGTATCTTTCATCAATTTTGGCATTAATGTTGATTGAATAAAACAAATTGCTGGTATGTGAACTTAAATATTAGTTACTTTTTGTTTATTAGTATTGGACTCTTTCTACTAAAAATTTTCTAATAGACTCAATTTAATGTCACATTGCTAAAATGTCCTAGTATTTAGAATGATAAATCTAAGCCACACACACCTTGTTTTACACGTATTAACAGAAAGTGTAGTCAAATAAATGATTGTTAGTTATAAAAATTCTATACTTTTATTTATTTGGTATATACCTGTATGTAGTCATGGATTTCTTACACTCTTTTATCTCAGTTAATAACTTTAATTATTATATTTTCTTATATTATTTGCTCTTTTTATGATCTTCTTTATACTTTAGTGTAGTCTTTGTTTTAATTAAACACTAATAATATAGAATTTAATTGAGAAATTACTAAAGAACTTCCTTAAGGTAACTAAAGGTAAATAATTTAAAAATACTCCCTGATACACTGTGCTCTAAAAGTTACATGGACTACAACTGTACGGGGTTTACAATTAAAGCACAATAAAAATAAGTGCAAATAAAATGCCAAACATTTAAGAGAATTGTCGAGAAATTCTAATCAAAGTAGTTGACTTGAAATTCATTTATTGAAGTAGACTTTAATGAAATCTCTTGTTTTTAATCTAAATTATGCTCTATTTCTATATTTCTTTACAATTGAAATTCTTTATCTTCAATCAAATGTCGACACATTGAGTGTTGGAGTCAAAAGTCATGGCTACCCCTATGTATAATCAATAGACGAACGCTCATTCACTTCAAGAATATCCATGGATTGGATTCTTAGAGAATTGGTTCCAATTAATCCATCAGTTATTTTGATAGTCACTTCTCTCTGCTCTTTGATCTCATTCAGAATCCATTGGTGATTACAAATCCCTAAAATATCTAATCTGAGACTTTGTTTGTATTTCATTGTTTTGGACAACAGATCCAATAGATGTTTGGAAACGTCCTTATCTTTCACAGCTTTTAAATAAACGTCTTCTAAGTTTTCCAAACATTTAGTGTTTTCAGTGAACAGTTTAAACAATTGCTTGAAATTAAGCACAAATTCTGTGATAATGACAGACAGACTCCAAATGTCGGCTTTGATGGCATCATAACTGAGTTCATCGCTATTTGATTGCAAGAGTTTGGAAAAGATATGATCGATAACAGGGTCTCTATATAAGTCGTCGCCATCTCTGTCCATGTCGTTTGGTTTAGGTTTCAGTGGAAAGAGCATTGAAAGTCCGAAATCAGATAATCTTAACATAATTTCCCCTTTTATTTGCATATTAGTGAACACCAGTATATTTGACGGCTTTAGGTTTGCGTGACTGATGCCACGAGAATGCAAATATGCTAAACCTATCAAATTATTATTGATATTTAAAACTTAAAATATAGTTTAATATTCAATTTGATACTTTAGTTCTATACCTCTGGCTATTTGTGTGGACCAATTGATTATCTCTTTTTCAGATAAATTATTAGCTTTACTGTCGATGAGTTGCAGTTTCTGTTTGAGGTTATTGTCACAAAACTCTATAAACATAAGTATATGTGATATATCTGTCGATGTATTCAATGTCTTTCCACCAAAAAACACAATGTCTTTAATGATGACCAGATTCTCATGACTCAAACGATTTAGTTCTTTGATCTCATCTCTAAATAGACCGAAATTAGGCATAAATTTACCCGAAATTGTGGTCTTTATTGTAATGGTCTTATTGGCCCCGAGTTTCACTCGTATTGACTTCACTTTACTTTGATTTGCATTCTCTTTGTCTTCAGCACTCGTTTCAAACAATAATCGGTTTTCATGTGTGAAATCAATTACTTTAACCACAAGTGACTGTTCATCGAGAGTGGCATCAATCCAATAGCACTCCAATGCAATTGAATAGAAGTCTTGACCCAACTCTATGCCAAACCTGTAGCCCATCTCCAGACAGTGTTTGTGAATATCTTTAGTTAACACTCTTTCTGCCATTAATTGTATAGCACTTTGAGTCCACTATATTGGCTTCAAATCAAAGCCAACAATATGTCTCATCATATAACGAGACTTCAAGTCATATCATTTGAATGCAATAATCTTATAGAATATTCTGTTAATTATTGTCTATTCTATTGGCAAAGCCTATGAGGTATTCCTCTATAAGTGCCCATAACTGCCATTCCCGTTTTGACCGCTCAGTAAAACTACCTGAACTGTGATCAGCACCTGTAACCAAACTCGTGAATATGTTTTTTATGAAAATATTCCCATAGTACTGGTCAAATGAATTTCAATTATAATATGAATTCATAGAATTTGTAATTACATGCAATGACCACAATATTCATATTATTACTCTTATACTTTATTCATTGAGTATTGTAGTCACTTACGAGTTATCATCAATTAGTACTCAATATGATAGGCATTTATAAGACAATTGGGGTCATATAAGTGACAATCAGTGATAGTACCATGGTATTCAATTTATATACTCTACAATCATCAGTCATTAGTATTCGTGCAGTCGTTTACATATGAGTTGCACATAACAATTACAGACCTATACTATTGCATAATAATTGTAAGAATATTCTGTATTCAATACAATTCAATGAATACAACAGTAATGGCAGTGAAGGGGTGTAACGGTTGTTGTGAATGACCCTCACGTGTGACTGAAACGAGTGATGGAATGACTGGTCGTATGGTTTGGTTTGCAGTGATTGACAGCTCAGGAGACATACGAGTCATCACTGAATCACTTCCAACACATCCAACACTCCATCCATTGCCGCCATTAGCTACACATATGGAGGTCACGGACTCAATGGGATCATCCGCTGTAGTCGTGCATCCAATGCACGCCACGAATGGAGACAATGACGTCAATGGGATGAATGGGACGGAAGGGCTGACTGCGAGTCCGATGACCACATCCGCGCCAATGAACACATCGGACACACCGATGGACACAATGGAGACACAACTGGAGACCCAAACGGTCACCCAAATGGTGTCTGAAATGGTGGGCCAATCGGTGAGTCATTGGTGTGAACCTAAGAGCAGATATCAGCGCAAGACGTGCACCGAAATGGCGGTCAAGTTGTGGCGCGTATTGCAGACAATAAATGGCTTCCATAAGAGTCGCCAAGAGTTGCACCAAAACGTTTCCAACCAAATGCTGGAGGAGTTTAACGTCAAACTTAACGACAATCGGATCAATCAATTGATTGAAACGGCAATCGACGACAAACTGATTACCGCCGAAGAGACGGATGACTCACAGATCAGGTAACCTTTGAATGTATTGTTGTGCAGACAATGCATTAATTGAGACAATGATTGGATGATTGGATCAGATATGTGGCGAACTTTGATCGGCAACTGTTTGGCGAAGTGAGCACTGATTGGCTGTGCTTTGAGTGCCATTTGGCGGTTGAGGATCGGGTGCTGATTGGGTGCACCACTTGTTTCCGAGCATTTCATCCGCAGTGTCTCAAAGTGAAGGTCAACCCAAATAGCTATGAATGCGGATATTGCGAGCGTTTGGTCCAAAGGGACACCACTTTGAAAGTTACAGTAATGGCAGTGAAGGGGTGTAACGGTTGTTGTGAATGACCCTCACGTGTGACTGAAACGAGTGATGGAATGACTGGTCGTATGGTTTGGTTTGCAGTGATTGACAGCTCAGGAGACATACGAGACATAGACTGTTGTGAAGGCACGAGTCATCACTCAATCACTTCCAACACATCCAACACTCCATCCATTGCCGCCATTAGCTACACATATGGAGGTCATGGACTCAATGGGATCATCCGCTGTAGTCGTGCATCCAATGGACGCCACGAATGGAGACAATGGCGTGAATGGGACGGAAGGGCTGACTGCGAGTCCGATGACCACATCGGCGCCAATGAAGACATCAGACACACCGATGGACACAATGGAGACACAACTGGAGACCCAAACGGTGATCCAAATGGTGTCTGAAATGGTGGGCCAATCGGTGAGTCATTGGTGTGAACCTAAGAGCAGATATCAGCGCAAGACGTGCACCGAAATGGCGGTCAAGTTGTGGCGCGTATTGCAGACAATAAATGGTTTCCATAAGAGTCGCCAAGAGTTGCACCAAAAGGTTTCCAACCAAATGCTGTCCGAGTTTAACGTCAAACTCAACGACAATCGGATCAATCAATTGATTGAAACGGCAATCGACGACAAACTGATTACCGCCGAAGAGACGGATGACTCGCAGATCAGGTAACCTTTGAAGTATTATTGTGCAGACAATGCATTAATTGAGACAATGATTGGATGATTGGATCAGATATGTGGCGAACTTTGATCGGCAACTGTTTGGCGAAGTGAGCACTGATTGGTTGTGCTTTGAGTGCCATTTGGCGGTTGAGGATCGGATGCTGATTGGGTGCACCACTTGTTTCCGAGCATTTCATCCGCAGTGTCTCAAAGTGAAGGTCAACCCAAATAGCTATGAATGCGGATATTGCGAGCGTTTGGTCCAAAGGGACACCACTTTGAAAGTGAATCAAATCCCAAAAGCATTACTCAATAAATGCATTTGTCTTCTGCTTAACAATCTTGAGCTCAGTTTCGACTCACAGATGACCACCAATTATGAGGTGGACTCCACTCCAAGAGCTCAGGTGTTTGTCTTTAAAGCCATGGATCTCTTAACCATTCGCGAGAAGGCAACGAACGGTATGTACGACTCGTTGCAAGAAGTGGTGAACGACTTCAAGCACTTCCAACACAATTATATGGTTTGCGTTGACTCTGAGTTCAAACGAAAGCTCAAAGAAGTGCTCGAATTGGAGAAGAAGTTCACTCATGAGGTGAAAGAGTTGACACTTTGTGTGGACTGTTACGTGTATTCGTCGGACATTGGGTTTGACATCTCAGACAAGCCCTACGACTGGTTCACTCTGGTGTGCTCACCCCCACACGAACTGGTGTTCGCCAAGTTTGGCAAATACCCCTATTGGCCGGGAAAGGTCATCAACCGGTCACCCAATGGCAAGACATACGACATTCGCTTCTTCGATGCCCCAGAATTCTCGCGAGCGCTCATTCCTGACATCAAATGCCGACCCATAGAAGGCTTCAAGTATGAAGAGGACGATGAGCTGGAACTGCCCGTCCAGTTGCTGGAGGAGCACATCCGCAAAATCAATGAAAAGGGCCTCCAATTCGTCCAAACAGTTAAGACGCCGCCAATCAGGACTTCCGCTAAGAAGAGGGCCAATATGGACACCGATGCCGCACAACGTCCGGCCAAACGCTCCAAGAAGTCCACGGATTCCTCAATGAATTGATTGTCAATTCTATTCACTCCTCATTTGATTTTTGTGTGTTTTTTAATGTATATTCTCTTCATTTAGACGACAAATGACTCACTCTTTCTAATGATTTGTTAATTTTTTCTTTTAATTTACTTTTAATTTAATATTCTTTGCGTTTATTTTTGAAAATTCAATTTTCTGTGTTTTTTGCTTCACAATAAGTCTTATAAAATAATTTTTTTTGTACCGGTAATACATTCACACAAACATTTGATTCATAGGTTACACTTTTGATTCATTTAACAAACAATACAGTAATTAATATAAATTTTGCTTAATTTAGTTAAAACATTTTTTGTAACTTTAATTATTAATTATCATTAAAACTTTGTAAACTATTTTGATAATAAATCTCTAATAAAACTTATAAATACATAATTTAATAATTAGATAATTTAGTTTATGTTAAATTATAAGTTTAAAGATTTAAAAATAAATTTAATATAAAAGAGTTTTGAGTAGAAATACGCAATGAACTGGTTGTCTACTTAATGTCTTAACTTAAGACTCTTAAGTCTAATACGATATGTTTGATAAATGATATTTAGCAAGGCCCTTGACCCACATGGGCATGTCTGGTAATGCTCAGGGTCACAGCTGTACACCCGTAACATTAGGTTCAAGTGAAAGTTTAAGGCATTTATGACTCTTTTTGACTGCGAGTGAGTCCTACTGTAAGCTTCAAATAAATAAACAAACGATTTTGAAATAAGTTTTTCTGAAATTTCATTTATTTACTGATAATATTATAACATTTAATTGTTATAATTATTAATTCATTAATAATTAGTCAATTAATTATTAATTGATTGTGTAATTAACAAATTAGCAGTTATTTGAACTATTTGTACGGTATATATGTTTTGTGACAATTCATGGATTATACGTCAAGTCATACAATTGGTCATACAATCACATATGACATACAGTATCACATTGTGTGCATCAGTAGTGTATGTGTTGTGTAGTGTTGAGTGAAAGCATGCATTCAATGAATGAATGATTGAATGAATGAGTGATTGAGTGACCATTGAATCGATGGATAAGTTGATTGAAATCAAGAAGTTTCGGCCATTGAAGGCATTGCTGAAGAGTGAGCACAACCGGCAATCGCTGACACTATTGGCCTGTTTTGTACATGGGCATGTCTGGTAATGCTCAGGGTCACAGCTGTACACCCGTAACATTAGGTTCAAGTGAAAGTTTAAGGCATTTATGACTCTTTTTGACTGCGAGTGAGTCCTACTGTAAGCTTCAAATAAAGGATTTTGAAACAAGTTTTTCTCAAATTTCATTTATTTACTGATAATATTATAACATTTAATTATTAATTGATTGTGTAATTAACAAATTAGCAGTTATTTGAACTATTTGTACGGTATATATGTTTTGTGACAATTCATGGATTATACGTCAAGTCATACAATTGGTCATACAATCACATACCCAGACATATGACATACAGTATGACATACATTGTGTGCATCAGTAGTGTTGTGTAGTGTTGAGTGAAAGCATGCATTCAATGAATGAATGATTGAATGAGTGATTGAGTGACCATTGAATCGATGGATAAGTTGATTGAAATCAAGAAGTTTCGGCCATTGAAGGCATTGCTGAAGAGTGAGCACAACCGGCAATCGCTGACACTATTGGCCTGTTTTGGGATTGAAGGCTCGGAAGTGATATTCGCCACCACAGAGGATAAAGTGTATGGATTTGGACACAACCGCAACGGTGTCTTAGGATTAGGTGTTTGTGACGAAGACATCACCAAACCTACGCTCAACACCACTCTGTCTCACAAACAGTTGGCAAACATTTACTACGGCTTCGGACACTGTATTGGACTGACGGCCAGTGGACACTGTTATGGTTGGGGTGACAATGATTACGGACAGCTCGGCATCGGATCCACTGAACCCTCGAATACTCCGCAACTGATCACTGGATTGGCCGACAAACCGGTGATAAGAGTGAGTTGTGGTAACTCTCACACACTGGCGCTCACCTCCGAGGGACACGTGTATGGATTCGGACGCAACTCTTTTGGTCAATTGGGGGACAACAGCAAGATTTGGAGATGTAATCCAACCCTCATCTACATTAGAGACACAATTGTGGGCATCTCTTGTGGTAAGTGTCACTCACTTGGGCTCTCATTCTCTGGTGCGGTGTATGTGTGGGGTCTCAACGAATCCGGACAATTGGGTCGACCTATCGATGAAGACATGAGTGAACACAAGAACCTCTCGAAACGACCGCTTCTTTTGGAAAGTCTTCGCAATATTGTGGTGACAAAAGCCGTTTGTGGACCAAACCATACACTACTGCTCACTGACCAGGGACATATCTATACCTTCGGCCTCAACGACATGGGACAGGTAGGAAACGGTCGCCTTACCACTCAATGCACTCCCATTCGGATCAATGAGAGAATTATGTTTAAAGACATTATTACTAATTATGACAACAATATATCGATTGCCATCTCAACTGAAGACAAATACTTTGTTTGGGGTTTTAATTGGCCGCACGATCTCAGGAAGAAGATTACCATTCCTTACGAATTGAATGAATCGATTGAGTTCTTCACAGCTTTCGATATTTATTCCCGATATACGAAAATTGCCAAAACTTATGAGACAATTGTTTTCAGACAAACCGAACCCATTATTACCTCTAAAATAAGAAAAAGAAATTCTCAATTCAATGAAACCGGTTATCCATCGGTTGATCCTATGGTAAGTCGAGTGAAAGAACCAAATGATTGGTTTGAAACCAAGAAGACATATCGTCCGCACTATAAATTAGTTAAGAATGGGATCCAAATTAAAGAGCCAAATGATTATAAAGCGAAAGCAATGCTTGAATCGTTTGATTTGAATGATTCTTCGAGTACTTCTCGAGATTCCGAGTATCCAATGCCTGATCCGTTTGATCCGATAGAGCCAAAGCGTGTTACTATGACTTCGGATGATCACAGTCTCGGCTATAATTTGTTGTCAGATTTAGAGCCCTCAACCGATACTCCAATTTTGAACTCAATGTTTGAGTCAATGAATTTGAATGAGTGTTTGTCGTCTGAATATAAATTGCAAACTCTATTACGGGAAGCGTTTGATAACCCAAATGATTACGACTTGAGGATAATAGTGAACAACAAACCTATTTATTGTCACAAAGCTATTCTCAAATTACGAAATAAAAAGTTTTGGCAAAATTATGGCCAATCTATTGATAATGAAGATAATGACGAGATAACTGTTGACTCGTTTTCTCACAAATCGTTTCACGCGTTTGCAAAGTATCTCTACGCAAATGTCCCCGAAGTTAATGACGAGAATTTGGATGAATTGTTAAAATTAGCCGATATTTACGATGAGCCAGACCTCAAAAGGCTGTGCTCTAAGCTTATGACTAAACGCGTTAGACTGGAAAACATTTGCTTTCTTTACGAAATGGCTATTCATTCAAAATTAGATGAATTGGAAAAGTCTTGCATTGAATTCGCGGTAAACAATTGGAAACACATTTTATCGACAGAAGAGTTTCAGACAATGAGTTATACTATCTCTAAGGGATTAATGCAATCTGCGTTACAAAATGCTAATTAAGTTTGTATTCAATGAAACATTTTCTTTATTAATTAATTTTCAGCTCAAATATTTGTTTTGTTTTGTATTTTAATACAGTATAATAATATGAAATAATCATTCAATCATTAATTTTATTGCTTGTATTTTTTTAATTAATCGACGATTTGATGCAATAAAATATATTATCGATAAAACATATTTTTAACATTAATACAACAATTGTTAGAATGAGTTGATTAAAGATTTAAATTTGTACCGGTATATTGAATCAATTGAATTAATTAGATTTCTTGATGTATTTATTGGCCAACATTTGTGGCAAACCTGTGGCCCAAATGCAACCGATATATGAGACCCAATCGAGAGCTCTTGTGGGCCATAAATACTCAAACATCCAAACCCTGAGTCTTTCTATTGGACCCAAAACTCTATAATTAGCGGAAACTGACTTATTTGTGACGGCATTAAACATAGTGTCGACCACATTGTCCACAGCAGGTCTGGCCGTATCCAATGCCTTATTAAGTAATGCTTGATATCCTTGAAAATAAGAGTCACCATAAGCTTCTTTGATGTCTTGAGGAGTCTGTTCCCACGCTTGGATTAGTGCCGAGTTATGGTTCACTCCATTCACTAAATTGGTTCTGAGTTTAGAAATATTTTCATTAATTTTGGATTAAATGAACGCTTCTAATGAAGTCACACCTGAAGAGATGGGGTTCAATGCAGATGACATCGATCTCCCATTTCTTCATTTCACGTCTGAGTCCATCCGAGAAGGATATGACACCACATTTGGACATACAGTAGCCAACCATCCCAGGGATGGCGAAACGTCCCGCAAGACTCGCCATATTTATGACACGACCCTTTGATAACCGCAAAAGTGGTAGAAATGCTTTTGTCACTCTAACTGTTCCCAAACAATTGACTTCCATTTGTGATATAAACGAAGACATGTCTCCAAACTCTATCTCAAATGATGACAATATCCCCGCGTTGTTCACCAGAGCCCACAGTTCTGAAGAGAATTTACTTTTCATGTCATATAACCAATTAAAGTCCAGTTATTATTCAATACCTTTGTCTTTGAGTGAATTTTGCATTAGTTTTCTGGCATTGAATACACTTTCATCTTTGGTTACATCCAACGGAATAATAGTTATATTTTGTGAGAATTCTTGTTTCAAGTCTTGAGCACCTCTACCATTTGGGAACAGACATCCAGCAAATACATGATAGCCTTTAATTGCTAAACGTTGTGCCAGTTTGTTGCCGAACCCTGAATCACATCCTTTTAATTGAAATTATAGATTTTTAAAATTTTGTTTTAACAGGATTAAAATAAGATATTATTTAAAAAAGATATTACGGTAGTATAAGTTATTATACCTGTGATAAGGACAGCCTTTCCTTTTGGGTCAATATATTGCTTCGGTATGGATTTGAATCTCCAAATAGATTGACTCAAATTCCATGATAAATAAAACCAAAGAATAAAAAGTATCACTTTTGACAATAACTGAAGTATTGATATTGCATAAATATTGAATAATACAAAATTGAAAGTCAAAATCAATATAAAAATTACATAAAACAACATTTTGATGACTTTTATTATGATTTTACAATATTTTTCACACAAAACTAAATCAAAAGTCAAGAAACTGATGTTGACATGAATATTAGGTCAACGTTTGAATTCAAAGTTGCTTTTGCTCCGAAAGCGTGCAAAATGTTTACTTAATTTAGTATTTTAGTTGAAAAGTAATTCTAGTTTTGACCCATTTTTGAAGCTAAAAGTGAACATGTTATTCAAGTTTAGAACATTGTATAAAATAGCAGTCTATTTAAATACAAAGTCTTCATTCAATGTTTTTTGTTTTTTTTGGTAAGTTATTCACTTATTTTACACGTAACACAATCAGATGTATAAAATAATTAATATTAATAATATTATAAAAATTCATCTTAAATATTGGTGTGATTTTTAAACCACTGATTTAATGTAATACAGACATAAGGCTTAATGATTAAGAGTTTAATAATTTGATGATATGTTGCTATAAATTGTGTTAAGAAAGCATTAAATAGTTTTTATTAATTTATTCTTAATAACTTATGATTCATAAGTAATTAAAAATTGTTAAAATTAGAAAAATTTTGAGACATTAGAAAAATGTTATAATTATTTTATTACAAATTTGTATTTTGAGACATTTTTTGTAACTCTTGGGCCAAAAACGTTTTGATATCAGAATGGGATCTATCAATGGCTTCCGTCAAAGCTTTCTTAAGATCATTGTTGGACTCTTTGATGGCTTCAATGGCTTTTTGATTTGATTGGTCGATGCCTTCTCTGCAGATCTTCAGATCATTCCTGAGAGCATCGGTGCAGGCATTCAAGTGGTCGACCACTTGCCAGCAATCAATGCAACACTTTGTCTCAATAGAAGTTGCCTCCAAATAGTCATTACTACTATTTGTGGTGTTATTATAAGACCAGCCTTTCCGCGGATCCCAATTGCGGGTCTCGTAAACAGCATTCGAGCGATAATTCCTCTTAAAGACACCCTTTTGTGAAACAAATGAAGTTCTCTTTAATGGTCTGAACGGAGATTTCAATGCTTGCGATCTATTGGCAGAGTCGGCACTATTGACAAACGATGACATCGGCGGCGGCTTTGCAAATCCTGGCCAATGAGGAGGAACTTCTTTACCAAAGTTTCGGTTTGCATTGAATTCAGCAAATAGTTGATTAGAATTGTGTCTCATCGGTGGTAAGGGAGACATTATTCCTGGCATTGGAGACATGGGCGCCAATCTATGGTTTGCTATCATTTCAGGCAAATTGAATTCAAAATCTTGAGGTTTACTCATAGTTTGCAATTAATGCCTTTCTTTGTGGATATTTTATTTCTCGTTTTAAATCAGTTAAAGATTTGATTAAAATGGAATTAAATTGTCTTATTTGACAATATATTACAATCTCGTGAATTTATACAAATCTAATATACTCTTTGTAAATAAATCTCGTGATGTCAAAATAAGTTGTCAAAATACGTGTTAAATCACTCATAGTTACCTTGTATTTTAGTAATAGACCACTGATTTTAGACCAAATATAATACATTTTTATTTTTAATATTTTTAAATATGTATTTATTTTATTAGTTTAAAAATTATTCAAATTATATAGAAAATTAAATTTTAAATAATTTTAATACAGTAGTTGTATTTTTGGTATTTTTTGAGTTTGCCGTTAGTTCCTAACTTTAAGACATCAATTTCTATGGTTTGACATTAAACACCTAATTATGTTACAAATCAAGACATCCAATATAATGAGTTGGGATTTAATGAGTTCCTAAACGTTATAAAAAGTAATTTATTTCTAACGGTAAATGAATACTATAAACATAAATTTTATAATTCAGTCACTATATTATGTTAAATTTATTTTTATTTGTTTTAATTACAAAGAAAATGAAAATATTTATCCAAACAAGATCATTTGCATTTATATTTGTATAAATGAATCATTTTTAGTAACATTTTACCCAAAAATATAGCAAACAATCTATTATGTAATAAAACCAAAAGAATTTTACTTCGAAAAGTATTTTAAGGTAATCTTTATACTCTTATGTCACGCAAACTACAAAAACCTGGATTAAAGGCTTTCAAATTAATCAAAAAGAGTGTAATTTATAATAGTTTTCATTTTAAATTCTTGGTTCTTATGACACGAAACTATTCTTTAATACTTTATCGATATTTTTGTGAGAATTATGTACTTTGAGTGCATTTGTTTGCATTTTAGACAAATGACAAAATTATATAAATTTAGCAACTTTTATAACAAGTTTAAACATAATTAAGTGTTAGGCGTCGTGTGATGTGGGCCTCACTTATAGCACGAGTAGATCGATGTTATAAATTATCAAATATTAATAACTTTTAAAATTTAATACAAAGAATGAATTTACTAAATAAATATTGTGTATTTTACAACAACTTAATAATTTTTTAGAAATTCCTATAATTAATATATATTTTAGTCATTAATTCTGACAAATTTGGCTACAAATGAGTTTTTAAAACGAGGAATTTTATGCCAAACGAGTCGATGAAATATTATTAAAGCAATATTTTATATAAGATAAAATTTCTCATTTTTTAATCATACTTTTATTAAAAATCTTAAATTTTGAGTTCAAACTTTGATCTAAAGCTGAATTTCTCACAAATATATTGTATTAAAACATTTATTTAGTACTATAAGAGTTAAATGAAAGAAAATTATTCATTACATAATGGAAGGCAACGATTGCTACAGAATTTGAGCCCAAACTCACACAACACTCACTCACCTGTTCATCCAAAGGGCAATCGTGTCCACAGTTTTTAATAACTTTTGGTTTCTCTCTCTTTAAATCTGAGGGGATTTCGCTTAAAATCCATTCTTTAATAACTAATTCACACTAAATATCGAATTTTAAATAATGTTTAGATTAAACAACACAACGACTGATATATTATTACAAATTAATACATATTTATAAATCGCTAACTACTAAACAGAGGCGACAGTAATTGCTTTTATTATCCGATTATTTTGGTTATCATTTATGAGTGAATAACACATTCCGATGCATACAGAATACCATCAATTCCTCAAGTGATTCAAACATTTCTCAAAAGATTAAATCAATTTCAATGCTAATTATATAATATAATTTATATTACAGTCATCATGCAATTGTTTACATAAAAGTTCAGAGTTTTCATTCATTTTAATACTCATATAAATTCTTTATCAAAAACATTTAATTTTTATAATTACACTTTATAGTTTTAGAAATTATTGAATATATTATATAATTAACCATACACTATACAGTACAGTAGTTTATACAAATAATTTTTAATTTAAATATTATTTTATATTTTTAAAAATAGTATAAAAATAGATGTAATCCCGCTAACTGATATTAAAAAGTAACGGTTAATAATTTTTTAATTTTAATTATTTTTAATAGGAAAATTTTTATACGTTTTACTTAATATTCACAAATATAATATACTTCATACCATAGGATCCAATGGACGACTGGATTATACTGTTATGAGGATAAGTGCAGCAATTTTCTTACTTTTCACGCGATATCTCATTAAAATGTTATTTTGCGTAAAATTCACAAATATAATATACTTCATACCATAGGATCCAATGGACGACTGGATTATACTGTTATGAGGATAAGTGCAGCAATTTTCTTACTTTTCACGCGATATCTCATTAAAATGTTATTTTGCGTAAAAATAAAGTTTTATTTTAAGAGCAAAACATATGATAATGATTTCAAATAATTTTACTCATATTATAATATATTTGTTGGATTTTATAACAAATTGATTGTAAGAAGTGCTACCTTTCCAAAGTGAATGTATGCTGGAGGCGCTCAACTCGTGTATTATACGAATAAATTATTTGTTTCGTTCAAAAACATAAACGTCCGCTTCGGTAGTCTCATGGATGAGGCACACGAGAGGGCCAGTAGTCGGACCACTGCTCTCTTCTAATACATTACAACATCTCTGGCATTGAGTGTAGTTTACGATAAATTATTATCATTATATGACTTCAATAATTGCTTTTTAAAACTAAAGGCTTTAATAAAGAATTTGTGCCATCATAGCCATCATACATAATAATAATGTATTTGAGAACTGTTTTCATATGTAATTCATATAGTTTTTGAGAAACTGTTTTAGTTTATGATTTGGATTTTAGAGCTAAAACTCATAAACTATATGATAGACTATTTGCCATTAACTCATATTTGTAGCCAAAACCAGCCATCAGGTGCTAATTATACTAAACACGCAATATATTGATTATATCTAATGTTATTTGAGTTTCAAATATTGCAATTCTTTGAAGAAAATATAAAATCGACAAACATTTTGACAAAAAAAATACTCAATTGTAAGAATGCCTCTTACAGTACACTCTGCAGTAACAGTAAAGTGTAATATTCTGTGTATTGTGAGCTTTAATCTAATCTTGTTTTTAAAAATTAACTCCCAAGAAGTGCAACATTTTTTACTTACAGTTAACCACTTAAATCTACTTTCAAAGTAATAAATAATAAAATGATGGATCATTTGGATCTTTAACATTAGACAATAGATTTATATATTTATTTTAAAATTTAATTTTTATTTAATTTATTATCAGTGATTATGATATTCTAAAATAGTTGTTTAATTAATAGTTTTTACATGGATTATATTTATCTGTTTTTAATTGACACGAATTAATGATAAGTTTTTATAGAAAATAAATTATTTTATTCCTAAAACAAAGTAATCAAAAAACTTCTTCGAAATAAACAAATGTTAAAAATGAAAGCAAAATATAGTAATTTTTCTTTATTGTATTATAAAATTGCACAAATATTTGTATACAAATTTTCAATATTTAATAAATATCCTAAAAGATTGATTAAATATTAATTCAAATATTCTGTCAAAACAAGACCTACTTTTTGTGAATAAACTCTTGATGGGAAAATAAAAGTCTTATAAAAGTCTTATAAATATATAATTTTGCGGACATAAAACTATTAGTAATTTTGCATTGACTTTATAATTAGTGTCGATTACCTTATAAATAGCGAGCGGAGGGTCGGGAAGATGAACGGCACCTCATTTCTAATTTGTGATTCACAACTGCACTAAATTAGCAGTTTTTGGCCTTTAAAGATGCACTAATAATAAATACTACAGCACCTGGAGTTAGGCTCAGCTGCTCACTTGACAGCGCTCTATACCGTACACTACATTACGGATCATACAGACGGGTATAGCACTAAAGAATATGGTTTTGTGAGCAATTGTTATGTCTATACAAACACCACAATAATATTCTTGCCATTCATCCCCCAACCAATGATTCACTACTATAACCATTGTCTGAGCGATGATTAAAACAAAAGATTAGGCACTCATTTGATAAATCATTTCATACCTAACGCACGTTTCAATAACATCTAACTTTAGCGCTCTTATTACGATAAGAGACAATAAAACAGAATCTACAGAATTTGAAACTTATAAAAATATTAATAAAATACAACTAAAGAATAATGAAGAAGATGTTTTACTAGCTATTTATTTTATAAGATTATAAATGCTATAAAATATCATCTTATCATTGATGTAAAATAATTATTTCAATTTAACACATTTAACTATTAATTTATATAATATTTTATCATTTTAATCATATAATCATGTAGTAATAATTAATTATACAAAAAATTAAACAAATATTTATTTTAATAAAATGTTAAATAATCATTTAATGTTACAAAAATAAATGTTTTATTTCAACATAATTTGGATAAAACAAGAATATTTAAATATAAACTTTTTTAAGTGCATAGTGTTTAGTGATAGTTTATATTATTTCACATTTGGAGGATTTTGGATTGAAGTACAAATGTTTAAGGAATGCATTTGAGGTATCGGTAATTACTATAATTATTATTTACATACGAATCGGAAAAATTGCTGAAATCCTATATTACAGAAAAATGTTCACAAAATCAGTGAAATGTACCAAAAGAGTGCCATTCATTGAATACCGTTTCAATCCATTTCTGATCTCCAATTCTATTCTCTTTATTAAACTTTTTTTCTGTGCACTCGATCTCAGATTTAATGAATCCATTGAACTGCTCATTGGATTCGTCGGCAACACTACCTTCTTGTTGGTCAGCCTCTCGTATGAGGTCCTGAAGGGAAGCGATGTATTCAATGGCGCGATGCAATGTCTTCACTTTGGACAGTCGTTTGTTGCGGTTCTCAATGGGCACGCATTTCCTTAATCTTACGAAAGCGCTGTTCACTGCCTGCACACGCCGTCTCTCGCGGGCATTCCTTCGCGCCACCAAATGTATGGGTTTCTCACGATGAGGGATGTGCTTATATGTCGTCTTTGTGGCCTTCCTATTCATATTAACATTTATAACAATTTATTCATTCATTATTATGATTAAGGACTGCACTAATAATGCACAAATGTGCAAATTCTTAAAGAATTGACAGATTATTGAGTTTGAACTTACTTTTTCTTGGCAGCGGACTTATTGGAGGTGATAAGTGTTGGAGTTATGGATTGAGGTTCCGATTGATTAGACAATGACTCGGGTTCTGACTGGAAGTAGTTGTGACCGATTGAAGGCTTTTGTTGAAGCGGTGGAGATATAGTATTCATATGACTCGGAAAGGTATAAGTGTTGGTATCGCTTATGAATTGACGCTCGTATGAGGAGTGGATTGAACAGAGATTTGGCGAAACACTCATCCAATTGTTATTAGGAGGCGATGGAGTGTCTGTCGGACTTGTAAGCGCTGGCATATAATTGACTTGAGGTGCGATTACAACAAACCCCGAGTGGTGTAACTGATGATCAATAAGTTCTTGCATTTTATAAACTCTTTGTTTGAAGAATATTTGCAAAATTTGTGCCCAGAATTTAATTAAAATATTAATATTAAAAGTTAGAATAATATAATGAAAACTCAGTGTTTTAGGACATAATGCTGGTATAGATAATGCGGGACTAATCAGACAATGGTATCAAACGCTCAGTTAGTCATAAGGGCTCAGAGAGTGAGAGTTCATCAGTCGATGGAGTCGTGATTCAAACTAAGAGTCGGATAAATGGGATGAAGTGTTATATATGTCTCGTGTGTATCAGTTTGGGTTGGCTTTGATGGCTGGGCTCACAGACACACAGAATGGGGAGAGGAGTGAGGAGTGAGCAGTGATTGAGTTTTGGCCAAACAGTGATTGCATATACTATGTGCACCTGAAAGAGTGGCGTCCAATCAACTGCCAGTGCTCTCAGATATAATTTATAGTGACTTGACTTCTGCAACGGCACGCGCCGTCAATTGCCTTAAGACTATTGTCCATTAATTATGGATATCAGCATTTGGGCACTTCTTATCCACTAATCAATAAGAGGTCGTACGACTCGAGCACTTGTACTATAACACAGCTTCCCATGTATTGTGTACTGAAATTAACGAACAAATAAAAAAGTCAGACAAAAATGCCGATATATATCAATACATTTTGGAAATGACTATAAAGAATACAATAAAAATAATCTCAAAGTAAATAATTGAAAGCAAAATAAATAATAATTATGTGATACGTAATCTATTCTAAAGAATTCAATAAATCTGGGTATCGGTGCTCATCACTGTAGGTCTGGTGCAGCTGTCGGTGTGTCTAATTTGCATGCCTTTCAATTCACGTGTAATTCGCCTTCATTTCTCACTCCACAACCTCTTGTGCTCTAAGTTTGACCTTTTTATGACCATTTCTAACACAAACTATTTCTCAAAATTCACTCAAAAGTCACTTTCATTCAAATCATTCAATGAAGAAAACACAAAACACTCCTCGAGTCTAAGCTTAGCATTGAATTAGTTGTCTGTGAATGCATTGAATGCATTGTTTTTTACAGAAAATCCTCTTTTTTACTCATTTTCTTCTTTTCTCGTAATATATTTTATACATTTGTCTCTTCGATGCGTAAAATTACGTGAATTAACTAAAAACACATAACAATAAAGCAATTTAAGTGACCTTCGCTTTACTACATCAACATCCCTGTGATCAGTGCACTGGCCATCAGCACCGATGCACTGGTCTTTGGTCTGTAACATTACATCCCTGTGCACTGCCATTAGTCTGAGGCATAATTTAAGCCACAAATTGAATGTTTGTTAACATTTTTCGTTTTAGTCAAAAGCGGTCTTTTCTTCTCTACAGCAGTCTCTCTCTCTCTCTCTCTCTCTCTCTCTCTCGCTCTCTCTCTCTCCCCTCTGAATGTGTGCAAATGGCCACGAGCTGAAGTGAGGGCCTGCACGCGCCTCCATGAGCCCATCCTCAGCTCCAGCAATACAATCACAGCACCGATAGCCTGGGGCAAGCAGGTGAGCACTTTTGCCTAACACTGGCACTCAGTTGTCTGCATGTCGGCCACCATTTAGTTATGTAGTTTAAATGCGATCAGAAATTTTGTGCCGTAAATCTTTGCCAATACTTTTGCAAAACTACTCACAGCTTATCTTATGTTTGTCTCCAAAATGATTTTTATTTTGTTATAATAGATATAAATGCTTTCGATATTATTAATGACTTGTTTTGGTCACTGACCGCTCACTTGTTTCCTATACTATCTCTTACTCTAAGATATAGACTATAGTATAGACACAATTGAATGGAATTTCAAATGATATAAATGCTGTAAATTACAGATAATCTTCAAATACAATCATCTAGCTTATTATTGCAAGTGGACTGACATTAAGTCATTTTTCTCCATCAACTTTACTTTAATTTCAAATTTTGTAGAAATATTTTCAAAATAAAATCATTAATTTTAAGACAAACTATACAATAATCATATTTTCATATAACAGGTATTAATATATTTACAAATAACATATCGCTTAACAAATCGTTCGGTCATATTATCCGCAAATATCTTATCTATAGATCTAATAAAACTAAATCAAAGAGTTATCCAAAACGCGTGCATTTAATAGGAAATCAATTCAAATTCTTGACATAAAAATTCTGCAGAATATAAAGTGTTCAAAGAGCAGATGATTTTTACAATATTTTTCTGTTATAAACTAATGAAATACTTTAAAGAAACCGTTATATTTGTAATACGTTTGCCTTCAGTTAAACCAAATAATTACCATATTTTCAGATTTAGTTGTCTCTACTCTATAATGAAATTCATTTGACTCGTGTCCCAAAGAATGGACTTAAATACAAACTGTTATTAGTTGTTACCATTATTACTGAGTTTAGTTAGCGCTGTAATTGTTTTTGGCGACCAGTTGTAAATAAGTGAATGAATAACTGATTCACTGTTTTTATGCCAATACTTGAATCACTTTAATTAGTGATTGCTCTCATTGTGACTGCGATTGTGGAGAAGTGCCAGTTCCGAGTCTGTCATATTAAGTAGGTGTTAGCCATTATAACTGTACTCAATGTATGCAAGAGCTTAGCATTCAAGCTAAAGAAGACACCTGCCCTCCAATGCTTCCTCTCATTGGTTGCCATCACTTCATTATTGCCATCAAACAGATTATTGTCTTTTGTCATGACTTGTGCCACACATTCACCTAAACCTATAAAGCCTTTCATCTATTTTTAACAATAAATCGATTTTAGTTTAATCAAAAATTCTTATACTTTATATTAAAGCTATATCTAAGAGGCCAATCCCAATAGTGTATCAGAAAAGTGCCTTAATCTTAATCTTTCAATATTACTTTTATGAAAGATTAAGATTAAAGTTTTTTCTGATACACTATTGGGATTGGCCTCTCAGATTTGTTTAATAAGTTTATACATGTATTGAAGTTATATTAAAATCTTATATAATTCACAGTAATAAATTTTAGATGATAAATTACCCTTTTAACAAATATTTATAGACTATATCGAAAGAAAGCTATATTTGAGAGTCTATTGAGTTATAATTAAATAAATTATTACTTGTGAGACAAAAGGCGTTTCAGACATACAGTATGAGACAAAATAAGTTTTCAAAAATACTAAAATAAAGATTAAAGGTTTTATTGAAATAATTATCAACTTTATGTACAAAGAAATATACTTTTCTAATATTCGTCTATACATTTAAATAATAGATATAATAATAGTAAATATAAGTGAAAATTATGTGTAATTTGCATAAAAAGTCATAAAATTCTATTGACTTAATGTCTAAAATGTTGAAACAATATATAAACTCTCAAAATATTTAATGATATGTTTCGTACAAAATTGTTGAAAGTGTGAAAATTTATTGAATTTTTGTTTTTCTTTAAATACATTTTTTGTATAACTTTTATGCCAATAGTTGTTTATTAGTGACACAGGTATTCATTTATCATTGCATTCTTTATCATTAATAATAAGCTGTGAAAAACATAGCTTTCAGTGGCTTGTATTTAACAGCTACCGGTGCCATTAAGTTAGTGAAACAAACAAAATCTAGAACTGTTTAACTTATTATTTACTGGTCTAGTAGACATCGGCATGTAACTATCTTATAATATGAGATTATTATATCGGGTGTCCCAACACAAACCAACTACTTTAATTAAAATTAAAAATATTAGCAATTACATTATACTAACAAAATCTATACCAAAATGTTGCAAATCTATTAGAATTTTATGCTGAGTTTATAAAATATATATAAATTGTCTACCCTGGTCATAATTTTAGTTTTACTGCATGCATGTCTGTTTTGCGTAATACCATAAGAATACAACTATCACTGAATGCTCGCATCAATTGAATCAATGCTTTGTATTCAGAGCGCTGTAAGAAATTCTCAATTTTTTATGTATAAAAACAGACATACATGCAGTAAAACTAAGATTATGGCAATTATTATATTTTTAATTTTAATTAAAAGTAGTTGGGTTGCGTTGTGACTCCCGATATATTTCAGCAACTACAATTATCAATTTTAATACATGCCATGCAAAATAAATGCTATAGAATTCAAAATAAGTTAATAACTATAGTTCAAAATTAAATATAAGTTAATTAACTTTGGTTTTATACTTTTACTTTTTATATGAAACTATACTATTAGTATTTTATAATTACAATTATGATTAAATTGAATGACAAAACACAAAATTTACAGTAAACAATGTGTTTAAAATAATTCATTAATATACATATTATGTTTGAGGGATATATTAATTAGTATGATGAATTCTATTTTAACATTACTTAATATAAATACTCATCATTTAAAAGTATTTGATAAAATAACCAATAATTAGAATATTTAAAATCAAAGTGTTTTTAAAT